AAACAATAATTGCACCCACAATAGTATGTCCATTCAATTAGAGACACCAAGTGATTGATCTCAGGTAGCACCAACAGTATTCTAACACACGTCGGCCATACATTAATTTCGCTTTGAATCCAATAAGGCTGTTTACAAACAAGCTCGTACTTTGTGCTGAGCTAGCAAACAGCGCTGACCGTTATTGCATCTGTGGCCTCTATATTCTATGAATACGAGTACTATTTCAATGCTCATATTAGTTGGGCACACATTCACCAATATATTTAATGCTTCATCACAGATCTGGGGCGACTTATTGCAGTAGGAAATATACAGCGTAACTGAATTTCAACTAAAATTATTTTTGGATTTAATTTTTTTCTCTTCTTTTTTAACATATAAATGAAGGCTTCCAAAGTTATGAGAGACACAAAAAATAAAGAACTTAAAACCATATACTAATTACTCGGTAAGAAGGGAAAATGTGACACGAGTACTTGTTTACAAAATTACAAAAAAAAAACATTTTGTCAAAACTTACATATACTTAAGTATTGTCTGTAGTTTACGTGAGAAGTAGACATTAAATTAAACACTTTTAACAGTTTAAAACGTAAACGAGTTATCAAAATACTTGCTAGTTGCTTGAAGTATTAAAGATATAGTGAAGGGATTATTATATATTATCATTACTCACTATTATGAATTGCTAGATCTGTTTTCTATAATTTTAATTGTAATAAAACTAATTATCACTAATTTCACAAGTTCCTCTTAACTTAATTCTTCGTAAAGTATTGTTACATACACGTTTTTACTTGCTTGTGAATCCGTTATTATTTTTATCTTCGTTAACTCTTAAGTAATATAGAATGGCGAATTGTATGCTTCCCATGTTTACTTGACAAATCAATGCACACCATTAATCGACATAAGTTCGTTAAAGCTTTGAGGCTTTTTAGTTTTTTACCCCTCTCGGCTCAGCCATAAACGAAACCTGTCAACGCTCTCCATTGAAATCGGCCTCCTTTAATTTTGAGAGCAATAAATTTCGTAATCCGCCAACGGAATTTATATCAGCTATTTAATGTCAATAAAAGAAAATACCAAGCTTTTTGCTGCAAAGAGTATCCGCTCTCATTTTACATACAAAGCTAACGTCTACGAAAGAAGCGGTACAGGCGAGACTTTCCATAATTCGGACGAAAAGAAAAGATCACAAGTCGATTATTGTATAATGACGTCACAATAAAAAGCTAAAAAATTGTTAAGCATAGGTATAACAGAAGTCCCTATCGTCTACGTTGGGGTATTTATTAAGATAGAGAAAAATTATAGCTTATAAGAAAAGGATCAATGTTAGCCGGAACAATAAGATCGGTTGAAATCTTACTTAGGAATATACATGCATCCACCAAGACGTGAACGGTGTGAAACATATACAACTGAGCCACAAACTTGTCTTGGCTTTAAATGCATACTAATATTATAGTGAAAGTGTGTTTATGTCTTTTTGTGCCTTAACATTACGACTACTGTATTTCTTTTATGACAAAGGTGAACGGACAAGGATGGGGTACACTTGATGGAAGTTATAATACCCGGGCATAATATCTAAAATATTCTATGCTATTTTGGTTTAATATGCGGAATTTTATATTTCATTAAACGGACATTGTCCTGGATTCGAACCCCAGGGAAGCAATAGATAATTTCAGCAAGAACAAAATTCTGACCACCTTGCCTGTAAAACCAATCAGTGATAGACACAGAAATGTGTTCGCCCTATGCCGATTTCACAAAGCTCTTTTAAATAAAAATGTTGGAAATATTTAAAACGCGAAATGATTAGTTAATTGTATGAACAATTTTGTGGTTAACTACTGCCCAATCCGTATGCTTAACAGCAGCTGTGGTCACAGGGGACAGTAGTCAAAAATAAATTGTAAATATATTTCGCATTTTAAACCACTAAAAAAGTATTGTAAACTACAGACAGTACAAAAGCTTCTGTAAATTAAATCAATACTGCGGTAAGTACAACGAAAGGGGGAACGCGCTTCTCAATCCGTCACTTCCTATTAATTTGATCGAAGCTATGGAGTCATCAGGTTGCGTATGACAGTATACTTGTTCAGATCTAATCGCTTGAGAGGCGACATGCAGGCAAATTGCAGCGTTTGTTTACGACAATGTGCCTACCTAACTCAATTTGCCTACCATTGTTAGTGCGGGACGTTAACTCCAGCTTTTATTGTATGACTCTTATTACGTACCATCTTCATATCTATCATAAACAGAACGGATAGATTGTTTTGTTTTGCTGTGGTTTGGAGTATATTAAACTTGCATATATAAATAAATGATAAAAACTTTCGCAACGAATTACCGTTTATAATATTAGCGAAAAATGTCAAAATATTCGTCGATTTGTGTAAAACTAGTAAAAACTGCATGCTAAACATATTTTGTAAAAGTTGATATGTTGTCAAGTATTACAACTTGCAACACACATAGATTTGGTGTTTTATGTGTTAAAATGGCAGAATACGTTACGATTACTTGAACTTTTATAAGTACTTTTTTACGTGTTAATCTAAAAATAAAACTATATAAATGATATATATAATACAAATAGTTTATGGCTTTCGGAGTCATTTTGCGACAGTACTTTTTTTCGCTTATTCGAGGAACACATAACAGCTCCTGATGATGTCATTTACTTGTGATGGGGAAACGTTAAAAGCGATTTCTTAATCGTGACATGAAAAAATTCATAAATTTTCATATTAAGAAGAAAAATTACTTTTTATCCCAAAACTATTCATTTAATTTTATTATTTATTTCAATTATTCCCAAAAAAATAAACCCCAAGTCGCAAAAACATCATAAGTAGGCAGTTAAAATGCAGTAGTTCCATAAACAACTCAGACTTGAATAATCATCTTCCCTTCGGAAACTAAAGGGATATTTCCAATGCACAAATGGCAAAATCGTGACGTATTGTAGTCAGCCATTGCCGTCGAATTGAAAGGGCTGGATTCGATATCGTACGACGCAGTTAAACGTCGATTCTGGAGCCCAGTGAATACCTCCCTCCGATACAAAGAACTAGTCGGAATATTGATGCTTTCAGGTCTGCAGTTGAGCTTTAAGCAATATAAGGCTTATATCCGACGAAACTGGCTTGAATTCCTAATCAGAATTTGCCGACAACTGTAGCAAGCATACGACAATACATACTATATTTATGTATTGAAATGTTTAAGCGATAACTATGTACTTGAATTAATTTACTTAAACTGGGGTTAATAACAGTCGTCCTGTATTGCGATCGGTTTAAACTCGCTGAAAAACAGAAATCACATTTTAACAAACAATTTTATAATTTAAAAATCGAAAATCGTCGATTTTATTTCAACGTATCGATACATGCACCTTTCTGGCCATGTAATTTTAAGCTTAACACTTGCGCATTAAGGCAAGAAAAAATTCGACGATGAGGTGTAAGACTCGGTAGCTCAATGGGTAGAGTAACAGCACGGAACGCTGACGATGCCGGTTTAAGTCCTGCCCGAGTCGGAAATTTTATTTTCAATTTATTTTCGATTTTTAAACTATATAGCGCCTCCATGTGCAATAACATGTAAAAAATAATAAAGTTTTCAAATAATTGTATAGTAAGAGTAGATGATGCAGTAAACGTTGGTTAATTAATTCTAGAGGTTTTCGTTAATTTAATCGTTTTAGCCGTTTTGAAGAGGAGACTGTGACAGGAGAATTTTGTATTAAAAAAATACGTTGAAAGAAACATTACTCAAGTGTTAAAGAGATTGTTATGAAAAACCATGTTTTAAAAACTTTTTTATGATTACCTTACCATAAAAAAGAAGATAACAAAAGATTATAAAAGACACCTAAATGACAGTGACAATTGACCTTTAGAAAGTAATGTTTTAACTAAATTCTAGTAATTACCAATAAATTTAAAAATGTTACAAAAACTAAATCTGCAATGCGGACATTGCTTCAAGCCGAGTAAGAGACGTTTGGCCAATTTCAAAGTTAAGGACGACTTCGAATGTTACTCGGAAAGTTACGTTAAATGTTTCTGGGGTCTGTGTGACCATCAGAAAAACGAAAGTGGCTTTGTTCCAAAGCGCTCTGACCGAGGTACTACAAATAATTCATATTGAATTCATTCTGCGCTTCTGTTTTTTATTTAAGCGGAGGACAGACAACCATATAAATATCTAAACGCGATGCGCAGTCTTTGGTCATTTAGAAATCTACAGACTGAAACCGAAACGCGATTAATCTTAACGGCTTTGTCAACTCAGGAGATTGGTTCGTAGCCCGCATGGAATTTCAAAATTCCTACCACTCATTTAATATTCAGACCTCCAGACGAATTCACACATGATTAAGAATAATTATAAATTGATCAGAAAAATGTTGGACCCGACGGGCATCAAACCCACGACCAGTTTTACATTGCTACCATTATAAAAATCCTGTGAAATTTAAGATCCTTCCTCGGAGATAATTTTGAGTCCTCAGTCCAGTAAGTACTATCGCAGACTAGGTTAGGACTATAGTGGCGGCAGTCCTTAAAGCCAGCCAACATCTATTTTTAACGCATATTACTTTTCGTTTATGAACGGTTACAGAATAAATAATAAAATAAAATTGAATTCATAACTCGGTATAATAATAGATAGTTATATTTAGCGCCATCTCTATTTTATGCTTTGAACTGGTTCTAATTCTAATGTATAAGATTCAGTAAAATTTCAGTGACATTTTTAATACCCTTTATTGTTTTTTTTTTATACGGAGCCCGGAGCCCAGAATACTAACCGGACGTGGCCCTATATTGATTGACGTTATTACTGATTTAGTTATTTTTGTTTCAGTCATAACAAAACAGCCGAGGCGACAACTACCATACTAGTTTATAAAAAGAAATTTGGTATTTACATTTTTAATAAATAACATTAACATTAGAAAAACATTACTATAAGGTTATCTGGTTTTCCATTAACACCTGCCTCACATTGATGTTAATTCTAGATTCTGCTATATAGTTCTCAAAATTTCTCCATTCGTTCTCCTTAATATTCTTATTCATCTCAGATATATCTTCAGCCTTCATACATTTTAAATGTATATTTGACTTTTGTACAGGACGCACAATATCACTCCACGGACATTTTGTAGCAGGCAATATTTTTGGTACCGCATGGTAACAAAGACGTGCTTCTTTTGACATTATAGCTATATCTCCACTGTTTAGAAGGAATGCTGATGGTTCTATTGTCTTCTCGTGTCTGCCTAATAAAAAAATTGCAGACTGGCCAAAACTGAAATAAATAGAATGGACTTTTAACACACTTTTTAATAATAAATAATTTGAATTATGGCAACAGGGCTGCAATTTGGTGATGTGATCATTTAAATAATGCTTAAATAATGTTAAAAATGTTTAAAGTTGGGATTCAGGACCAAAAACAAAAAAGAACAGGATAAGGGTATGCTATATCCTCATAGCTGTATGCATGCAGTTTAAAGTTATGAGTGGCAATATTAACAAAAACTGGCTTATGTAATATTAAAAATAAGCTAACACTAACCTAAATGAAAATAAGGGGGCATCTAAATTAACCTCTGAATGGTCTGTATGTGCAGACAGAGTAGAACACATGTGATAGTAATTTACTATAGCTGCTTCTGCCCTGAATGGTTCATAACCGAGATACTGAGCTACCACTTCACAGAGTTCTGCCAACTCTGAAGGAAAAATGCCTTTGCTTTCTTCACTGTAAACCTGACACATATTTCAGTAACTTTATTTCAATATAAATATCTTTCTTTAATCCTAATTTACTTGTTAAAAATAATATGATCTGATGATGTAAGTTACTGATGCATTACATAAAACCTATTCTCACACAATACACACACATTCTAGATATTTTCATTTAAATGTACCTCAGTAATGTTATTTATTACTTTGCTTCTCACTAAGTTACCAGATTTTAATCTCAACTCAAAATATATTATTTATTAAAGTGGTAATATTAACATTTTACTTTTGTGTCCCAGTTATGATGGTATCCTAATGTAGTCCATCTTAGTTTGTTTTGAAATTTCTTATCACACTTTCCACTCTTGTAACATTCGGACCACCAATCATTTAATGAGGTGTCAATATCAATGTTCCTTTTGTTTGGACTTTTTGAATATTCTTCTAAACATTTTCGTATCCAATACCTTTGACCTAAAGCAGTAAATGGATTTCTTATGATAACAAAACCTGGATGGTCACTGAATGCCAAACTTTGCCAAACTCTTAAGTCTTTTAAGCCAAGTATTTCAGTTCTTGGGTCATTTTTTGTATGAGGTATATTATTCACCTGGAAAAATAAAACATATAATTTACAACAAAGCTAATTTTAACATCTTACCCCACCAATTTAAATATAATACAAGAATTTACTTTTAAAATCTGTAGTTTGTATACTACTGAATATGTATACTTAGTATATTTATCTTTTATTATTTATATTATTAAATAATTATTTGACTCACCTGTTTTAAAATAGTGTACTCATCATTAAATAAAATAACCTGTTCTAGAGAAGGCTTAGGGTTATTTCTTTTATAATACTTAAATTTCTTCATAAACAAATCCTCGCGATCCATCTTGTATGTGTAATATAGTATTACAAATTTCAAACTATGCACTATAATAGTTGGTCACTACATACTTTGTTTAAAAGTTATATCTTGCGGTTTTAAAACTCAGAATTTGAATGGAATAGAAATGGATAATACCTAATAAGTACCATCGTGTTATGGTCTTATTCGTATTCGTAGTCAGTCTGACATTTACGTCAATATTGACAGTAGGCATCTGACAAATTGACGTAAAATGTCATTATTATTTATTTTTTGGCGAATTATAACAAACAGTGCGCGTTAAAACTTAAACGATAATCAATTTATCGGTTTAAATAGCCGTTTAATTAAAGAATAAAAATATACATGTAGAACTGTAGTATGTGCATTTAATATTGTAGTTAAATATTAACTCCTACCATGAAATCTGTTCAAGAACCTGTCGACTTAAGGGTAGGAGTCGCATATTAAAGTTTATTTTGTTACAGTTTAGCTTGTTACTAAAAATAATTTCCAATGTTCCAATGATTTCGTAGATAGAAGAGGAGCAGGGTGGAAAAGCAAAACTTAGGAAATGGCTTAACATGAATTTTAGGATTGAGATGACCGATGGAAGAATTCTAATTGGCGTATTTTTATGTACAGACAGGGATGCCAATGTAATCTTAGGTAAGATCTCTTGTATTGCTTAAAGCTTAATGAAATTGCAAATAATTTATAATTTTACTTGAAATATATAATGAGTTAAACTGCAAAAGATATTTAAAAATTGTTTGTGAGGACTCATTTGTAGCACTATTAACTTCACTTTTTTCTTTTTCTTATTTAATATCTTCTACTCGAAATTTTCGTAATCGATACTATAGTCCTCTTCATTATATTTAAATTTTTGCAAAAAATTAGAGATATTAAGATTTTCAATTTTGATTCTAGAAAACATTTAAGTAAGATGAAATGTATATTCAAACATGTTATAATAACAACAGCTAATAAGCAGTAATTTCATTTGAAATTCTTTTATTAATAATCCAATAATTAAAAATTCAAAGTATACATTTTATCTTTGATATATTGATATATGTATAAAACCAACGTACTGTATGAATATTCTACTAATATAATGTCATTATGGTGTTTTACAGGTGCTTGTTCAGAATACTCAAAGAACAGTGACGGAGAAGCGGAGGAGCCAAGAGTGCTAGGTCTTGTAATGGTACCAGGCCGGCATATTGTATCTATACAAATTGATGATACCTCACCCCCACAAAAACATTACTATGAAATGATTTGTTAACCATATAATTATTTTTTTGGCAATCATATAAGTAATCTAAATTCTAACAAGGTAACAGTTTTTTGGCTTAACTTGAAACATTTACAGATTTAATTAAGATTATTGCAAAATATTTCTCTAAAATAATAAAAAAGCTTTGAAATCATTATCATATTATTTATTAAATTTTATGAAAAACTTGTTATTTTTGCTTTCTTCAGCAATGCTGACAATCCTGCTAATGCAAAGAAAGTGCACTTAAAAATAAAAATAACCCATTACAACATTGCATATACATTTATTCATATTTTTCACTCAATTTATTTAATAATGTTTTTAAAATATTGGGTTCAAGGTAAATGTTTTTGGAATCATTTGCAAAAGGATTATATGCATCCCGTGTTGATGAAATAGTTGAAGAAATAAATTGATGTAAATCTTTCACGATAGATTTCGTCTCTTGAGGGTATTTTAGAACAGAATTCATAAATTCTACACTAAGTATGTTTTGAAGGCAAATATTAGCATGGTATCTAGAGGATTCCTTTTTTTATATTGAAATAAAAGTTTGTGCTAAGATTTCTGATATCTTCATCCTCATCTTGCAGCAAAATTACAGCGGATTTTATGCATATTATTTTTACAGTCTCCGGCAAGTTAAAGAATTTTGTGGCCAATTCATTATTAGCCAGACTAGCTATAAACCTCATGTCCGTGTCAGTGGTATTAGGGTGACAAAGCCAGTAAATAACATTTGATATTTTTAGTAAACCCTCTTCATCATCTAAGATTCTAGAAGCAAATGGTATGAAATATCTGTTTCTATATTCCAAATTACTAATTTGCTGTTTAAAAGATTCATTGTCTACTAGCGATTTTAGCTCAGCTTTTAGTGAAATTCTATAAAGAACTTTCCATAAACCCTGGCATCTTATCGATAAATGTGCTGATAACAAACCCTTTGCTATGTCATATAGCAACTCTTCAGAAACCTCTAGGCTGTTATCTATTTTGTTACATATAATCTCACTGTGTATTTCGAAATCGTCAAAACATAGTATTGTCTGTAAATTTTCTGCCAGTTCCACCCAAGTGGCAATCTGTATAAAATTAATAATGTTTATATTTGCCCAGACAAAAACACCTGGAATATACCTATTTCTTTGTGCTTCTAAATATACTTCCTGTATAGACTGTCTTTGAATACTAGTATTTGGGAACAGCTTCTGAAATATACTTTTACTCAAATATGAATAAGGCCTGCCAACTAAGTATCATTTTATATTTACCTTCCATTTTTAATACAATTTCATCTGTCATAAGTACTTTGTATATTTTTGTAAAGCCTTCTAACAGGATTAGTACTCCATGTATTGCATTCTCAGAAACATCAATCCTGTCCAATAGAAGATGTGATATCTCTTGAAATGAATATAAATTTAAAATACAACTGGCAACTAACCTTCGAACGGTGTATATTGGACTACCTAATAATATTTTTAAGTTATACAATAATTTTGATTGATCAGAAATGTTTTCTTGATTATAAGTAAAATTATATCTTCTAGCAACATTTGCCAGTATGTACAGAATGGGAACCAGATCCGAATGACTCTGTATAATATCAGCATTATCAATATTTTCTATCTGGTCCAAAATATATTTCCATAGTTTAGGTGAATGTGTTTTAAATTCATCGCAGGCGACTGTTGCCACTGTTTCTTCATCTTGCCCAGAGGCTTTTTTCTGTCCTATTAGTTTAGGTATAAGGGCACCGTAGAGTTGTAAAGACGCGTTTCTGTAAAACAAAATCGTGAAATGAATTTGATATTAAAAATCAGTCAGTCCAATGCTAATATAAAAAATTCAGCAAATCTATATTTTCGTTTTTTAAAGATAATTTATTTATTTAACAAAAATATATTTACATAAGTAAAATACACACACCTTATTTGCCAATGTGGACTAGTCAAATTACCAAAAGCCAGCTCTGCTAAAGAAGCAGAATAGTACATCATTTCTGAGGCTAGGCAACTATCTGTAACAATCTTGGTTAGAAAGTGAATATAAATTGCTTTTGGTAAATCATTCTCACTACTGCAACTATCTTCATTTGCTGTGCCATTGAAAGATGTACAAGTCTTCAGCATAATATTTATGAAATAGTGGAATAAGGGCTGTAACAAAATGAATATATTAATAATAGTCAATATTCATCGTGCGTAAGCCAACTGAAACTTAAAGAATAACTTAATTAATAATAATGTTTTTTTTTTTATATTTGATATATACCTTTCCTTTTTTCATATCACTGGAAACAATCCTATGAACCATAATAGAAAGACCAGCGCCCCTTCGTGTCACGGACGCCATTTTATTTGCCTCTCCTATTAACTCCTCAAGCTTTCTCTCTAATAGATTAAACGGTAGATTTGACACATCAGATCCAGTTAGAGAAGTCAGATACTGAATACTCTTTCCTGTAAACATTATTTTTGATTTAGTAAATATACAAAACAAAAAAAAAAATTATTGCTATTTATTTTTATTACCTAAAGCTGTTCCAGCAGCTTCTATTGCACCTTTGTGCCGGCAAGTTTCAAGTACATGCGTAATTGTGTTTAAACATTTACTGCAAATGGTTTCATCAGCTGCATTATACTCAATCAAAATAGCAGAGAGGTCACAGGACATCTGAAATAGATAAAAATATGTAATTAAATAATATCATTTAAAAAAAATATTTTGGAATAATGACGCAATATTACCTTAACATTGAGCCAAAGGCAACTTAAAACATTTTGATGCAAGCCCGATATATTTGTCTCGTCATACTGATCCTTCAAAGTTGTGTTTGACTTTCTTATTAAAGATTCAACCAATTCACTCATTTTTGAAAAATCATAACTCACAGTGCTGTTTTCATCGCTTATAAATTGTTTTGAAATATCTTCTAACACAGAACATATATTCCAAATAGTTTCTCTTGGGATATCAAGCCTATACCCATATTCTAAGCAGCTCTCAAAAATAACTAGCAATAATCCTAAGATCGAGTGCATTTGCTTTCCTTCGTGTATGGAATCCACAATGTTTCTCTCTAAATTGTGTTCATAAACTAACTGGTCATACCAGTGTTGGAAGTAAACTTCAACATTTTTATGTTCAACTTCCTCTCCTTTTAAAATTATACATACCATTAATTTAAACATTATTTTACTACAGTCAATGTCATAAAAGAATTTGCTTCCGCTGCACTGTTTTACATCTTGCAATATATTAGTAAAGGTGTCTGAATGTTTCAAGTCATTTGAATAATAATTTAGAAGCACGTCTAAAATGCCCTGCCGAATATCATCTGCTGGGTCTTTTAATAAATTTAACAATTTCATCGTAAATTCCTTCTGTGATAAGATCCATATCTTATCTGCTTTTAACATATCAGTCAATGTCCTAGTAACTCTTCTAGAATGTTTCTTGCTTGGAATTGAGTTCATATATTTAAAGGTTACATCAATTAGCTTTACAGTAGTGATTTTCCTTTGATAATTTCCATTTAAGTTTATTGAGGTTGTAAGAAAATATTGTAAATTTAGACAGAATGTTTTTAAATCAGATAAACTATCAGGTTGCTCATTTATTAAGAATGCATTGTGGAGATATGTCAAGAAACTGCTAAAACTATTTATCATATTTATCCTTAAGACCGTACAATCTGAATTAATATTGTTTGACAAGAATTCTATAACTGTTTGATATTGTTGAACATCAGGTAAACATTTGCCATGTGAAATACAAACAATATCAAATGATCTTATCCTAATCTGTGGATTAACATGCACTAAACCTTTCATTATAACTTCCATATGTTCAATTTTTTTTAATAAAGCAATTTTATTACCCTGCTTCATGACACTTAAGCTGCTAAAAAGCTTTGTTTCTATATCACGGATTACAAGTAGCTCATTTAATAATATATCTAGCAATGAAGGAAATTTCTTCAACGTTGTTAAGCACCAGTAATTATAAAAGTTTTCTATAGCTTTGTAGCAGTCTCTGCCTAATATGTTTAACAAAGGTTTTAAAAATATGTTGCACCATTCTTCATCTGTTTTTGTCTTTTTCAAAATTGCATAATACATATCTGAGCCACAGGAAACGAGCCCTGGTTTGTGTAAACTGTACATTAATCCATCAATCCAATTGTTTTTCCTCATCATTGTAGACATGGTGCAATGTGTTTGTTCTATTATTTCGGTAAGCATTAGAAACTTAGCTTTATTCCAATAAAAAGTGTTAATCTCTTCAATAACTCCATGAAAAATATCTTTGTCCAAAACAGATATCAATGTTTGAAAAATACTTCTATTTAGGTTTCTTACTCCAGTAATTGGGTTCTCCCAGTTATGATTAATTACATTAAGCAATTGAATCTGTTTATTTCTACAAAATAGCTTTGATTGAAAATTGGTGCCAATAACTTTTTTAAATGAAGATATTGTTTTGAAGGCTATGTATGTGTACTGAGAGTACTCATAAGCCTTGGCTATTAAAATGTGAAATGTTACTTCTAAGATTCTAGTCAATATATCATTGCAAACCTTGTATTTTTGAGTAAGGTATGATGATTGGAAAAAGCCATACATTAATGTCATTGCATATAAAAGTTTTTCCTTATAAATGGTCTTACTTTGCTCTAGCAACAATGTATCATTTAAAATATTAAATATTTCCATCAAATATTCATCCTGCTTTTCTGAAAATGTTAATAAAGTGTAAAAACATGTACAACAAAGCAATTGATCATCAAATTCCGATAGTTTTGCACTCATGTGTTCCCACAGCTTATGTATGATGTCATCTATGATTTCATGACTTTTAAATATCTTCCTTGAAGATGAAAGAATTTCCTGTAATGTAGAAAAATCTGATGGTAAGAAGCTATTGTATTTATATGTTACTATATATGTAAATTTCCTATACTAACATGTTTGAATCATATAGTAATAAAAATCGTACCTGTAACAGTTCAGTATTAATGTCACAAGTAGGAATAGTTAATTTAAATAAAATAGTTTCCATGGAATCCATTATAACATATCAATCAGGTGTTCTGAAAAGAAACAATGTTTTACTAAGAGTGACATCAGTTATGTTATGTGTAAAAAAAGACAATAATTACCTTCTATCAAATAACTGTTAAGGGTAAGCAAGCAAATAAAACCAAAGTATATAATAATTTACTACATAACTATATTTACACAATATTCATAAACATTTATACATCTTTAATGGGTTCAAAGCCTTCCTTTTGCATTTTAACTTTAAATAGATTGTAATCTCTTTTCCTGTCAAAGTGGCTCACCCATTTAGGGGGACAAGAACTTTCAAACATTTTCCTAAATTCAGTGCATGCTTTTGGATGTTCAGAGCTATCTTTAACATTATTTTCATCTAAACATTCCCAGTATTTATCTCTAGCATCCCAACAAAGTTTTCTTTGTTGCTTGTCAGGAAAGGTCATCTTATACCTAAAACCAGCCACACTATTAGAAGGGATCCCCATTAATTAAACTTTTGGAACCCTAATAAAAATTTAAAAATAAGAAATCGTGACTTACCTTCACTTAGTTCAAAGGGTACAATAGGATGATAGAGTTTATGTTTTTTTTAAATAAACGCCTGCAAGTCTAGTTTAGTATGTTTAATTCGTAATAATAAAATGATAATATTATTATTTTAGGTTACTTTTGGAACAACCAAGTTTAAACTATTTTCCATCAAATTCAAATGTCAAATCTTTATATTACTGATGCTGTCAACATGACACATCAAGCTAGCGATTCAGATTTTTACTCATAGCCCTATGGTTTTTAATTATATGTTACCTTACTGCCTCGGCTTAAAAGTTTCGTTACCAGGCGATAAAATATTGTAAAAAAACTTACTTACTTTATGGCGGACGCTACCATAGAGTAGAATAATTGAAGCAACCCAAAGTAGGCCTTAATTTTTATTTATGTGATACCTTTTTTAATTTTTAAAAATTTAAGTTAATTTCTTAATTTAGGGACAGCGACAGGGAAAAAAAAATCATGAATACACAAAACAAGTTTTATTTATTGTTAATAAATAATTTTTGAATTTTTTAGTAAATTTGACTTACGATTTGATTACTTCTTCGATAATATTCGACGCCCTTTCGAATTTATTCATAGTGAAAAAATGAAAGTGTCTAACATCAGTCTCTTTCAAAATAAAATCAATTAGATTCTTTACAATATGAACGGTCGACTGATTTTTTATAGTTTCCATAACATTTGGGTCGACGTGTATTTTACACAAGGTTATAAATCTTTCCACTTCAGCCTGATTTTCAAAGGGAAATACACCTGGGATAATGGGTGCTGTAATGTCTGCATCTTTACATTTATCCACAAACGATTTGAAGACATTCGGGTCAAAAAATGCCTGCGTCATAATGAAATCAGCTCCACTGTCCATTTTGCTTTTTAAAGCCTCAACACTGGCTAATTTTTCACAGTGTCCAGCCACACCAATAGAGAAAAAGTCCCCTGAATGTTCTCTAATGTATGTTACTAACTCTGATGTTGATTTGAAGTCCGATAGGTTTTCATCGTAACCTTCTGCAAAAAAAATATCTTCAGTACAGCATTAATTGTAATTTGTAAAACAGAAATTGTTAAAAAATTATTGATTTAATACACTATAATTAATTTACTAATTTTTTTTTTAATGATTAATGTACTTAAAACAACTTAATACAATTGAAAAACGTGTACCTCCTTGTATAGCGAACAAATTGCATACATTATTTGATTTCAGATAATCCAAAACACCATTTAGATAAGGTTTCCTCAATTTATGACACGATAAATTTAGCAAGACATTTTTGTTTTTATTTGCCAAGCTCTCAGCTAATCGTAAAGGCGGAATATTTAGATCTTTGAATTCATACAACTTCGCATGCCATGTAATTGAGTAAAATGCTGGCTCTAGTGAAATGTTGTTTAGTTTATCTTCAGTTATATCAGGAGTAACTTCGAAAGAGTAAGAGAACTTCTCTGCGTTGCTAAGAAGTTCTGTGATCTTGTGTCCCATGTCTGCAAGAAAATTTTATACATGTAATAAACACAATAATAAAATATGGGGGCCGGTGATAGTCCTATTTGTTCGTTTAATATAAAACGAAATTAAAACAATGGTTTCCAACTTTGGTCCCGCCGAAACATTATTGTTTTTCACACGATTTGAATTTGGCGCTCAGAATGTTTATTAAGGCACGGCCATTTTCTAATAATATAATTATTGTCTTTAGTTGATTTCGGTAAACATTGATTCCTATATTATTACTCTACTAGTAAAATTACATACGAAATCTAGTTTTCTACAGATAATACACAAAAACTTACTCCTAAAACCGTGTCGAACACGCCCCAAACGAATTAAAACCTTGGTGTCTATCATATCTCTGTTAGCAAATATTATTGTACTAAGAATAAATAATTACCTGTTTACAAAATGATCCGGTTTATCACGAACAGTTCCGACCGAAGTCCGAGTGCCAACTGATATTGTTTTTATATCAGTTTTTCTATTTAGGCAGTGATAATAAAATGTAATCCTTAAGCTAATTGGTTTTGTATAGTGGAATAGATTAATTCGCTTTCTATAGAGTGTAAAAAGTGAAGCGATATTTATATATACATAATCAGATAATACGTTTTACTATGTATGGGTTAAAATATTTAAAAAAGAGAGACTAGGTAAATGTACGAAAAAAAGGATCTGAGAATTATACTGTTTCATATTGTGTCGATCAATTATTGAAGCGGACGTTCTACCGCTTTCATAGAGAGCTTTTAATTTATAGGGTCTGCGTTGAATTCAAATAAAAAAATGTAATAAGTTAAATACTGTATTATGCCGGTCTAAGTTTTAAACAATCGTACATGTTCGTATCACAACCGAAATGCATAAAAAATTTACACCCAAGTGAAAATACAGACAAATGTTTCCAAAAAAACAACGCTAAAATCTTATCTTATTTTTATCATTATTGCCATACGTGACTTTCATACTTAGTGATATATTGCTAGGTGTTACAAATTTTAATTATAAATATGGTCTCTAAATGTCTTCTACTTCGTCGTTCACCTGAATTGCAATTTGAGTGTTGAACTGCGCTGCCAGGTTGTTTTTGTCCTATGAATTTGTAAAATTCTTTAAAAACATTATTTTAATTAAAGTTTTCATGATTACTAAAGAAAACAGCTTAAATTTTTTTACGAAATTTCATTATTACCAAAAATGGACTGAGTGTCTGAGTCTGACCCACGCAAGATATATAGGAAGGTACATCTGGCAACGCTGGTGATGAAGCAATATTTGAATATAAAACCGCTACTGTCCATACTAAGTAATTATAAAATTGACTAATTAAAATTAATACGTTTGCAGCTTTACGCTGACCACAGAGTATAATACAATGGTAATATTTGTCTAATTGTGTAAAAGCTTCCAAACACCTACACTACGTTGCTATTTTAAAGATAAGTACATGCTTAATATTAATTACATCTTACGTATGTAAGTTATTGTTATGATTTGATAAAGCTTCGTTCATTATAAGAAGTATTGTTTGAAATGTTGAATGGAATCAATTATAGGACCAGATAGATCAAGCTATTTAAAAAATTAACTTTATCGTTTCAAGGAATAGTCAACATATAGTTAGTATTGCCATCTATTTAGATTAAATAAAACTGATTCAAAAAATGTAAAGAGTACAATGTGACCGAATCGACAATATGTTGACCGAAAACGCGGAATTAAGTCGAATTTGTCTAAAATTGTCGAAAATGCCTTTTCAATTTGAATGACAACCGTTACGTATTAGTTATAATAAGTAGCTATAGTATACAATTACCTATATCAGCCAAAATTTGCTTGATGATATTCAGTATTGCTCGTTCATTTTCACGTAAAAGGATCAAAAAGCAAAGATACATTTTTGTTTACAAAGAAACATTGTTTTACTGCCTCTATTGAAGTACGCTAGACTTAAATGCGTTGCTTTGAACTAGACACCATCAGGTTTACTCTTAAAATCATTTGCAGTTAATAACTCGAACATACAATTGCAAAGGAGGAATTCAACGAACCTATTATACAAATTTGGACGTTGTCTACATGTTTTACATGTTAACTGAAGTAATCGGGACCTAATTTATTCGTAACATTGATATGTCTAGTATCTATAAAACACTCGAAACTACACTTGCATCTACAGTAATCTGTAACATCACTTAGCTATTACAATTGGGCTTATAACTCCGTCCGAGATAATAAACTACCCCTAAGCCAGTGCCGATAAAACTGGTCGGTTCTTTGGAGAAAATTAATTAAATTTAATCCTGAGTCAGTTTGGGAATGCTTTAATTGAGCCGTTCCTACGGTGATAAGACGGTGATCTGAATTGACACAGAATTCAGTCTTTTTCCTTAAAAATTAATTAAATAACGTTAGGAGGTAGATTATTATATACAAGGTTAATACTACGGTAGTCGTTAGATACAGGACATGGTATTTACAGAATGTTAATGAGTGACAATATCGATAGATGAAAAGCGTAACGACTTACTTAGTATGATAGTTAATCAACGTTCACAACAATTTAACCTACATTCATATTGTCATTTTTATAATATTACTGTTGTATTATTTTAAAGGGTTAATAATATAGCAGTATTTTCCTTGGGAAAATGGTTATACTAATACTGCAACTATTTGCGCCCGGACTCACTAATCCGAAATTTTCACTTTTTTCCACATGGCTATCGTTCGATTAGCATAAAACAATATTAATATTAGTTATTTGTAAGTTTTTATGGATTAAAAAATATTTTAATTTACTGCCTCGCATTCGTTTACACATAATTTTCGAACCATATTGCTTAAAACAATTATATAAAATGGAATGCATCATTCACATCATATATTAGGATATTAACTAGTAAAAACGATTTCTTTGAATCAAAAATTCAGTACAGATTACTCAAAATTGTCTTACTAAATCATTGTAGTGCAAAATAAAGTTTGTAAACATTTTTTATAACACTTGATACATATAAGTTGTAAAGTTAAATCAATTCAAAACGTTTCTATAAAACCGTCGATTTGGTATTTATGTATGACATTAGCGAATTATAAAAACATTCAACGTTTATTCATAAATGGTTGACGACTTTTACAATATACTTTACGATTTTTCTAGCCCTTAAGTTCAGTGGACTTTTAATAAACCACGTTTATTGCGATACGTTTAAAAAAGCCAGTAGGAATCACTGTATTTTATGAATAAGGCTATGTTTGTCGAAAAGTGGCAGTATAACTTAAGCTTAAATTGATTCCATTTGTTCTGTTAACTCCAAAATTGGACTTTCGCTAAGTGGCAGCATATTCGTTGAAGGCGGCAAGCTGTGGCCTTGCCAGCTAGGCTGAAATCGAAGTATAAAACACACTGTAAACCTCAAAAAACTGATATTTTGATTGCATGGTTTTCCATACACAAGGGAAAGGAAATTACATTTCAGAGATAGTGTATTTTCGAATAAACAATTACAAGGATATTTTATAATGTTCAATTGTATTTGGTTATCACTTAGAAATTCAATTTTAAATATAGTTTGTTCGTTTTTTTATATAAATCATTACTTACGTATCATCTACATGTAAGTCTATATGTCTCTAAAACATTCCATGCAAAATTGCAACTAAGTACCCATTATAATATTCGTTCTGGAAGTCATGATTATACAGCATAACAATGTATGCTTGTGTTTAATACTTGAATTGTGCGGTCAAAATCAATATCACTCATAAGGCTAGCTCAATCTATTATTTTTCACATGCACAAGCAAAACGGTGACTAAATAAAACAAAAACAAAGTGTAAACTTTAATTTATTAAATAAACTTGCTTCTAAATAAAGCTATCACATCTTACATACAATATTTTAATTATAATTTATTATCACTAACGAATAACAAACCTGTATGTACATTTCATTGCTAAATTTATATAATACAGTAACACAATAAATAAAAACCTAAGTGTTTATTACTATCAAAAGGAAACAACAGGAACATTGTGATTTTGGACATTAAGAGAACTGTAACCCTAGCACGAGGTTCATACACGAACTTTGTTATAAATAATAACGATTAGTTCCGTAGTTTTCGTAATAACGAAGCTTATACTAGGGCAACTGCACACTGGATGGCAAGTGAAGCGATGCAAACACTAATTACTTATTTTACTATAATGTCTAAACGCTACGCGATCACTTAGTACAAGATATATCGGAATGAAAACTATACAATTTTATCATGTTATCTACGCAATTTGGACTCGTAAAATATTTGGCAGTATGCATTACGACTATCAATAAATGAGTAATTTAAAGCGCTAGTTATTGTCATGCATTCTAAGGGCCGCTGCACACACGTCACCAGCCAGAACTACAACCAGCGGTCCCGTGTACAGCAAGGCTAAGTCGTACTCATTCATAAATTCTACAATGTGACCAATTTGATCTAGCATACAGACCGAGGGCTAACTACTTGTAATAATATCACGATTGGTGAATACTGCGTGCAACACTACTTCACTAAACAGTGACAGACTCATGGACTTGCATCTGAGTCTACGTCGGTGATACAATATAGTAGAACTTCTTAGGGTCTTCTTATTTGCAGCGTAGACTATTTTTGGACCCAACAAAGTCTATAGTTAAATCGTTACATAATGTCTGAAAATTAGTCTACGGCCCAAATTGAGACCCCCTCAGTTTACTAGTTGTGATCTAGTCAATTGATCTGTTGGAATACCTGAAAGCAGGTTTGTGGCGGGAACAGAGACGAATTCCACTGGCCCGGCCATATCGGCGCATCCAACGAGTGACTGCTTTCCCCCTCCACTTGAGGGTCTTTCACCTCCCGCCTCCCCAACTCCGATATTTGACACGCGCTCTGCAAGCTGGACGGCAAGTTCGACCAATTCTCATTACCTAGTCTATCCTTATTTACTATATTTATCTCCATCGAACCCTGGTAGGTGTATTTGGCTAACTCTTCTGGGTCATGCTCGTCGACTTTGTGTTTTATCCTGTTAGGGTCCTCGACTATCGCTTGAAACGCCATCAGATCTCTACTCTCCGATTCTGAAAGAGGTAAGGGAGGTAGCACTTGCTGTTGTTGCGCGATTTTGTAGCTCTGTTGCCGCAGCATTTGTCGCCTGCTTAAGCCAACTTGGATGTTGTGCAACGCTGTCATTTCGTGCACAGGAAGATTTGGTGGGGTCATCTGCTTCTGTAATAATTGCCGTTTTTGTTGGTATAGTCTGTGTTGCATTAGCTGCTGTTGTAGTGGAGGTTTGCTCCCTTGCGACACGGAACCGTGCGATAACTCAGAAGTGTCTTGCATTTGCGAAACCATTTTTGGACTAGCTGGCATCGGAGGTGAAGTACTCGAATAATTGAAAGATTCAGGCAAACTGATCCGCTTCGGCGTTGGGTTCTTGGTATCCAAGTAATGCGGGGTGAACGACGCTGCAAACTGATTATGTTGAATTTGCCGCTGCGTCATTTCCTCCGCTGGCAGAGTCGATTGGTATTGCGTTTTCAATTTCTGAGCCTCTTTTTGGACCAAATGGAGTTCTAATACGCCCTTCGCTTTGCAATTCTCGTTAAGTTTCTGGCTATTGAACGCTATGCTATTTTTCTGTGCGTCGTCGGCCTGCGCGGCTTGTTGCGCGACTAAACCGTCGCTGGCACGACGACCTTCTCTAAAATCCACCGGGCTCCGTGTGACGGCTCGAGGGCAACTTTTATTAGCGGATTGGTAGTTAAGAGGATTATGTCGCGCTATAAAACCGGTGCCGGGTGTTTTATTATTGTACGACGATATATACACGCACGGATGCATCGGACTAGTATTAACGAGGGAACTGTTTTCATAAGATAGGCGGTCGTCGTTAGAAGTACAACTCGGTAAACTGCTAGCTAGTTCACTGGAACAATCTGATAATTGGTAGTCGATACTCTCGAACGCCGAGAAGTTGCTTTGAGAAGAATCGCAGCTCAAGTTTTGACTAAGGCTCTTATTATTAAAAAACGTGACCACGCCGCTACTTGAACTGGAACTAGCGTATGAGCTTAATCTGTTTTGGACTCCACCCGTTGCGTTCACGTCCTCCATATCCGTTTCGCAACCTTCGTCTGTTGACGAGGAGTACTGCTGTTGAAATTTTGTCGCCTCGTTTGAGGTGCCCGGTAACGTCTGGTTATACGTCTGCCCAGTCGTATATCTATTTAGTGAGAATTTGCTATCTGGCCTATATAGAGTATTCTGGTATAATTCCCCTGCAGCAGTGGACATATTGAGGTTAGTCTCAGTAGACACTTGGGGCAGTATTGTACTCTGTAAATACGAATATGTGGGTATATGATTTACGTAGTCTTTAAATGGGGGCGTACTAGTTTGTATTCTATTGATATCTTGCTGTTGGGCTGCAACTAGCCTGCTCGATTCTAGAGGCTTTGGCTGTTCTAAAACACTACTCAGCTTAGTTTCAGTAAACTGAGTCGGTATCGGACTAGTACTTAAATTGACCGTGCCTTTAAGTGGCAGTGGTGATTGCTGCAACGTATTCATAAGTTTAGCTGCTTCAGAGCACATGGTAAACGTAGTGGAGTTAGGCATTTTCATGGAGTCCAAATTAAAATTAGTTGCAGACGCAGAGTTCTGTAGAAAAGTCGCGATGGCACTATTGTCGGCTACGGAGGAAGTTCTACCACCGTCTATAGCACATTTTGAATCAAAACTGGACGATGTTAATAATCTGCCGTCTGCTGTTTTTGGCTCCGGGCCCACAGTGGTGGATTGTTGGAGCAGCCGCCTGCAGTCTTCACTGGATTGTTTCAGAATGTTCTGCTGCTGTTCATAGGTGGAGGCAAGGAGTTTGTGGGTAGGTGTTTCTAGAAGCTTAGTTCCAAGCCGTTGGTTCGACTGCGCCACGTCGACGTTTCTCATGGAGAGAAGTCTTGTGCTGTCAGTTTCATTTCTATCGTTGGCGACAAGAAAGCTCCGATGAGAATCTGAGGGATCGGAATTCCTCTGGAGCAGCCTCTGTTCAGTCATATTCACACCTGCGAGGGAGAGAAGCCGTTGCGTCTCCGCGGTGGATGGATCAGCTGTAGGTCCACTCACATTTGTTGTCACTCTATTATATTCCCTCGACTGGTCGCCGCTGTGTAGTAACCTGAAATATAAGTTTAGTTGTTTAAATTATTGTATATACGTTACCATGTGGCTATAAGTATGAGAATTGGAACTAAAAGTTTTATAACCAAAAACACATGTATATGTAAGTATATATATCTATTATTATGTAATGTAAAATGAATGCATGAATGATATAATAATGCATATGATATAGATGTTACTTAATTAGTAATTAGTGAATAAATATATAGACTAATATTGAATACTTAACAAAAGAGTGAATAAAACCCTTACCTGTTATGATGTTCTCGCCTAGCGTCATGCAACTCCCTGGCCAACGCCTGGTCTGCGACGGACGAGGGTCTGCGCGTGGGCCGTCGGGCCTCACACAGACCGCTGGCAGCCCGCGCCCGCAGACGTTCCAGCAGCAGCAGATAGATCGCTGCGTGGTGGTCGTAACTGTTCGACCGAAGACTCTGTTGGTGAAACATTCTGTGTGACTCCAGAGCCGCTGGAGTTTGCCTATGTGTCTACGTGCTACAATTTCATTAAACTACGTATTGTTTGTTCGATAACAATATTTTTAAAGACGTTAATGGTAACTTAGTCCCCAAATTAATGATATAAAAATAATTACCTAGTATTTTACAAATAGGAAGCGTTTATGGGAAAAATACTTAAATGAGAATTATTTATCTTTATTACGGCAATTATTTTATACGGCGTTTAAGTAAAAAGTTAGTCTTCCGTAAAAAACAATATTTTAACTTTGCACCCTTGATTGAGTCAAAACCACATATGGTAAGTGCTCTAACAAGGCATATATTATATTTTTTTATGGTAAAGAAGGACCGAAAAACGTGTGGTTCACTTGAGGGTAGGTGAGGTACCACAGCCATATAACATCTAAACAGGTGCGTCATCGACCTATTTGGCTTTGGATATTGGGAAATCTACAGACTGAAACCGAAACGCAATTAAACATCACGGCTGTTTTCATGTGCGGTGTTTCGTGACCTGGACGGAATTTCGATATTCCTACCACCCAAATTTCCAATGACGATTTTCAATTAATATCCAATTTCCAAATGAAATCCAACACGTTTCAGAAAAATTATGATTGCTCCTTATAGCAAGTAAAGAACCCTGACTGTCAACTGTTGCATACCTCTTTGGTTTTAACAGGATCTATGCCCAAGCTTTGCATGAGCCGTAGCACTTGTTCATTTGGCTCATGGCTGTGTGATACGTGAGCTGGGCTTCGCATCGGGTCCGCTGTGATGGTGGGCGCTACGTAGGGCTCCGTCGCCATCCACCGGTGTTTCTTTATTTGGTCTATGGTGTACCTCTTCATCGGTTCGAGGACTAGCATTTTTCGGATGAGTGACTCGCAATCTGGAATTATACGTCTAATTTTATGTCTCTTGCCGAATAAATCATATATGAAATTAAAAAAATATTAATAGATATATACAATTTTATCGGATAAGCACAAAATATTTTGATGAAATTTTTTGTGCTTTTCCCGTATCTAAAAAAATTGCCTTCTATCGCTACAAACACGATAGAAGGACTAGTCCATTATACAACTTAAACGAAATTACACTAACGGTTCAACAATCGCACAATATATAACCCTATAAGTTAAACCCTTGTTTTAAAATTATTTTACCGACGTTTCGGATGCTTTACAGCAGCCTGGTGAGCCGCGGTAACGCCTACTCGCGGAACTTAGACAGTATTTTACTATTACATAATTAAGTTATTTTGATAACAACCACAATATAATAAAAACAATATGTATTCCAAAAATAAAACTGTACTTAAATATTAGAATATGTTTATCTTTTTACAGATCTCTATCTAAGTAAATTTTATATCCAATAGAGATTTATAAAGGGTATGTGATGAAATAAAAATAAAATAAAATATATTTATTCTCTATAAAGGATTTCTATATGTCCGTCGTGATAAAAATTTGGATTATTATTTAGATTCGATGTATGTCAAAGTTGTGCATTATTTAACTGTTATTATTTATGCCTATTTTCCTCAAACTGAAGTACTTCGTTATCTTCAGACAATGTGCGTCAAAGTAGTGGTAGATACCGATCAATAAATGAAATTATATGAAAAATATGCTTCATAAATTTGCCTGTTTGTGGTGATAGTCGTCAACAAAATAGTAGAAACCGACGATAATGTCAAATTGTCCTTATCAATGTTAAGGATGACAGTTGATTTGTTATTATATATTATCGTTAAAAAGCGATCTCTACCAGGCAATGCAGTGTTAGAAAATAATATAAAGGGACAAACAAGTTAATATATCAATCGACGTTTATTCCAAACTATACAAATATATATTTATCACTACAAACTTTTTTCCATTAAATAATTTTACTAAATGCTATTAAAAATAAGGGTTGATCTAGAAGGGTGAAAATTGGGGATTGTATGTATTTTGTATGTTATATAAAAAATAGAAGTTAAAAATTTTGTTCAAAAATTAAAAAAAATAAGGGTGAACACCTTATCATAGGGGAATGAAAATGTCTATTCAGACTTTACACATTGAAATTTGGTGAAAATCGGTCGAGCCGTTCGGATGAGTTCAAGTTCGAACACCTGAGACGAGAATTTTATATATTAGAAGATTATACTGATTTACTTTGGATATTAAAACCAGTAATTTTTTAGACTTTATCTGTAAAACGGATTAACCGACTTTCAATGCATATTCTGGTAGATACAATAAACTTAAAATTTCATTAATTTAATTACGCAAATTTTTAAATTAAAGAACTAAAGTCAACGAAAGTAAGGCCACGGGGCGTTGGTAGTCGAGAAATGTATTGTGCGCGGCCGTCCTATATATAACACCCTCGTCAAATATGGAAAGAATACCCGGCGAGCGTAAAATATAAGCTGATGACGTCAGTAACTGACGTGAATCGGCGTTCGGACGACAATTTGACCCCGCTGAAAGGTCATGGAAAGGGCAAGGAAATGATGCCTTCTTTGTAAACGCGAAGCGAGGGTTGGATTAAATTTAACATATACATACAAACATTACATTGTCCTCTTTAATAATAATGCAATAACTTTTGAAGAACAATTTTTTTTTCTTGTTAGAGCGTGTTCCTCCATACCACAAACATTTTTATCCAACCCTTTCCAAGTAGTTTTTGTTTTAACGATTTAAACTTAATTATTAAAAGTGCCTGAACTACACTGCGACTTTTATTAAACTTGATTAAATTAAATTAAATTTTATTAAAGGATCGTATGCAATTACATTGAAAAGAAGTACTACTTTTATGGAGCCTTCTGGTTGGTACACTTATTTTGTCGGTCACATACTCTCTTTAAAATCTTATATACACCATTTATCACACCATAAACTTTCTATGACGAAAAGCTATAATTATTAAAATTATAAGTTGTAATAAACCTGTATTATGGAACATATGTCGTTGTTATTTCGATTCGATTTTTGCTGTTAAAATAATGCGTTACAATTTTTGGGGAAACATTTTAGGGGCTATATACGACATTGAAAACAGTTATATCAACACTGTAATTGCACACAGGGACATACTAATTTCGGCGAAGACAATGTCTTTGTGGTTTAAGAGTGTGCGTGACTAAACCCTTTCATCAAATCATTCTCAAACGCGGAACTATAAACATTGATGAGACGTTACAGAGACAAGGCGACGAATGACGACAAAACAAAACCCGATGACGTAAAACAATAAGGGCTTCCATTATAACGTTTGCCATTTTATTTGACGACGCTAATTACAGTAATCGATATAAACTTATTTGAAAATGTTTTAATTCTAGGTCCTTGTCTAATAGCCTAAGAGCTAGCGATGTATGGGCTCATGTTAGTTTTTGTTCGTAACGTATAATTTATTTATTTTTCATTCAGATCAGAACATACATCACCTGTATATTATTTTGTACGAGCATTCTTATGTTAGATCCAATAAAAGATGTATACAACACTAATTCTACATATAAAAACTAACCATTACTAATTTTTTTTTTTTTGCAAAAATTCCCAATGCGTTTTTGCGACCCTGAGAAAATATATTTATTAAAAAACAACCGTAAAATACCTGATTAAGCAATATTAAATTTAGTTAATTACATTAAAAACTCTCCGATCACTTGTCTATTAGATTCAAAAGTATTGTATCTTTCGTATCTCTTATTATTATATCGGGAAAATTTGAAGTATGAAGACAGCAAATTATATACTGGCTCTCGGTGTTTCTAATTTGACGTTTGATTGTTCGCAGTGACGTGAATATGTTCATCTCTATGCAATCGACTTATGCAATGTTTTCCTTAAGTTTCCATGCGTCATGCCAACTAAATTAAAATACAGATAATTGCTTTCATGTGTCGAAAGAGGATGGCGTCCGATCAGGATAAATAAGCTACCGAAATAATCTTAAATAAATATTTCATTTGCTCTTCGCTTATTTCAAACAAAACAGCTGACGAATTCAATTATAAATATTATCCTAACTATTTCCAGGGTTTCCAAAATAGACTGGGTGCTCTGAAAGGAAAACAAACGTCTCGTGTTTTAGGCGGTCTCGTTGGTGGCAACGACTACGACGGATTACAAGTTCGATTCCCACCGAGTCCAGTATGTTTGTAGACCGTTTTTCCATATAAGCATGAAAGGCTCTCAACGAAAAATGAGAATACTAAATGGGCAGCATAAATAAGCAATACCGTCTATGAATGTCCACAGACAAAATAGCTCGCCAGAACATTTTAATTGGATGTAAAAAGGATGGGGTTCCACCAAGCATTAACTGAACCCTCTCGCGCATCTGCCGCGATAAAAGCGTACTATTTTATTTACCTTCTTTCACTTCCTACTAAAATAAATGCGATGAGTGGTCAAATTTTGCCAGGCGTAGCTATTAATAGATCGTTCAGACGCAAATATCGGTTGCCTCTGGCCGGCCATTGACGCAATAGTGTGAAAAATGCGCGGGTGTTATTCAATTTAGTGTAAAGCCATCTACCATGAACTTGATGCAGTTTTACGAGCATTCGCGGGACCAAAAAGTCGTGATGTCGCGTCGCGGTAGGACGTGCTCCAGTAACCTCGACTAAAAGTCATGTAAACAAGCATGTATAACTAGCAACTATGGTAACTACTAACGACGAGTTTAAATGAGAAATATTATGAGATATTATTGCAGAGACAAAATTATATAAACATTTGACACTTCCATATTTTTTTTTATTATAATACACATTTTGAATTTATAGCACACAGATGCAATATAGTTACTTTTAATAAATGTTTAATTAATAAATAATGTTTTGTGGGCAACTAAATATTTCTTAGTTTATTTCTATAATATATGTAATAGTAAGCCATTAAAATTAAGACTGCAAATTTCAGTCTATTCTATTGGTATTGGTTATACATATACTCTACTATCAGTCGCCTATGAAGGTTCAATACGGGGCTTTCCAAGAGGCATACTGGGTCAGGTCTAAACTAGTCCTTGAACCGATCAAGAACTTTTGTTATATAGGATCGCAGACGTAAAATTGTGTCTTACTAACCTATATAACTTGTTACAATCAGTATCATATACTCGTATTAGAAAACAATAAATTTTCGCAATTAGATCTATAGAAATAGGTATCAATTGACGCACACAATAAATCTAGTCTGTGACGCAGATTATAATCGTCTGATAAAAGTTGAAGGTTCGCGGGAAGTTTAAGAAAAATTTGACGATAAGCTGTTCAAAACTTTTTATCAATATTTTCCGAGATTCGCTGACGTCAATGGTGGGAAAATACTTTTTTATGACGATATTCTATCTATGTCAGAGGACAAATATGGAATTCATATGGTGGGAGGTAAAACATCTCTGTATAATTACATACAGATAACTATATGCGCTTCAAAATTTGAAATGAAAACTTTACTAGCTTCCGCCTTTATAAAATTAACCCATTTACTGTCAAAATTTTCCAGACATGTTAAGAATAATAACAAAATGATTCACAAACATTTTGGACCTGATGATAATCGAACCCAGATCTAATGTCTATCATAGCCACACATTAAAATTTATCAACAAGAGCTGACGTCAATCGCAGGAAAATACATTTTTCATGACGATAATATTCGCGTTGAGTCGATATTCGCCACAACCTCCATTTTTGGCAACGTTGCCAACTATAATATCTCGACAGTTCTAAAGTAATGAAAGTATTTACGTCACTTTGTACTTTGCACTCGTTGTGGTACGCGGTGGCACTTGCTTTTAATTAAAACCTTTGTATGACCATCTTTGATAGAGGACAGACAATTTTAAAGTTGTTGATATTACATTTAACGT